CCCCCCAAACCGAAGATTTCTTTAAAGATCAAAAAGGTTTATTTTTTGGGGGTCTAAGTTTATAGAAATCAAACAGGCCTACCTTTATAATAGTGCCCTGAAACGGGAACTCAGCACATTTCGTTTATTTTGTCACTTTTTAGTGTTTGAGAGCTTAAACAACTGCTTGCACCGTATACTTCCCAGGACCTGAAGCCGAGGGTGTTTCTGAGTGTTCTCGGGTCAGCTTGGGTAAAATTATTATTTACTATAGCATAGGGTTTGCTGTTGAGCGGGGATATGTGCCGTACACCTGCTATTTATGACTATATCTTATTATCATTAAACAGTCATACGGCAGTATGTAATACAGATACATGCATGCATACATACATAAATACATACATACATACATACATACATACATACATACATACATACATACATACATACATACATACATACAGACAGACAGACAGACAGACAGACAGACAGACAGACAGACAGACAGACAGACAGACAGACAGACACATACACTTACACATACACACATACACACAAACGCGAACTGTAAATACTGGTAGCGTGCGACGGACAGTCAGTCCTCGAGACTAGGCAGTTGCAGGCTGTAACTGTACTGTGACATCCTTTCTGACCCTGAAATCGTTCTGACGCAGAGTGAACTTGTGAAAGGATGGAATGAAATACTTACCTCATAGATGGATTTCTTGTTTGTTCTAGTATTTATAAGGCTACTACACAATTAATACTGATGTGGTCTAAATACCTGACCTTTTGTAGGTTGAATCGATTTAATTAATTAAAGAACTTAGTTTTAGTAAGTGTTTTACGGCACTTGCAACACAATAAGTGCCGAAGATTAGAGGTGTTACAAGAGAGTAACAAACACAAAAAAGAAGGAGGGGAGATAAACCGATAGACGTTTGATGGGAAACAAGAAGCAAACCACATAAGAGCATCCGCCAACCACCCACTTTAAAAAACTGATCTTACCTGTTCCATGCTCTTCCAGTTGTGTCACGAACGGTCAAGGCATCCAAAAATATATTAGGCGATTCCAGAGGGCTGGTTCACTGACGAGGCGAGACGAAGGTAGAGCCTAGATCTAGATCTAATTCGTTTGCTGTTCCTGCTCTAGTTCTGGTATCCTCGAGAACGACATAAGCAAATACAAATCACACGCAGGCAGACAAACCGTGGCCTACGTTATTAAAGAATGCCATGGTCAGACCCCACTCAATGTGGACCGGAGATTACACGCTGTGACCCCCCAGGAAAAGCCTCGATCGTGGCTGCGAGAAGAGTAGGACACTTGGTGAAGCTGGGTCAGCTGTGGCGGGAAAACCGAAGTGACCACTCCATGTTATTGATGCCCATCTATGTATCTTGTTTTTAGATACTGGTGCAATAGGTTTGTGGATAGCAGTTATTAAGTGATTCCCTTCCCCACCCTCCCCCACCTCCTCCATCTTCTCATTCTCTCTCTCTCTCTCTCTCTCTCTCTCTCTCTCTCTCTCTCTCTCTCTCTCTCTCTCTCTCTCTCTCTCTCTGTTTACCCAAATTTATTGGGCCGGGGCGAAGGCAGACTTGTTTTGACAGGGTAATCAAAGTAAAACAAGGAACCAGATAGAGATATCACACAAGAATAGATCTCCCACTTTAGAAACATATAAACAAAACTTCTTAGACCTACTCGAGGCGACATCACTGAGTTGTAAATAAAAGCAAATCTCGAATTCCTGTCGTATGTTCAACCGTGAAAAGAATCGGGAAAATATTCAATAAAATATTTATTCGCAATAACACTAAATTAAGCTAAAGATGTGAATACACAAACAAAAAGCAAAGAAACAGAGATGACAATTCTACAAATATATTATAATACATAGGAATTATAATTTGATTTCAAATTTGGCTCTTTTTGTCTAGCCTTTCGGGGCCAGGAGCAGGTGTCATAATCAAGATCCCAATCTGATTATAGAATGGTAAAAAGTCGAAGACCCCCCAAAAAACCCCAACAACAAACAAACAACCCCCCCCCCAAAAAAAACAAGCACTCACAGCAGCCATGACATTATTAGAAGCGTTCTCCTCATCTTTGCGAGGTAGACTCGACCAGTATAATTGTTAGTTTGCATAATCATTGCTTGTGACTGCTTATGACAGTGACCCGAAAGGGGTGAACAGGGTATTTATGTGGCCATGAAACAATTTTGAGTGCTGCGCATAAAATGTTCCAATCACAATATAAAGCTTATAATAATCATTGCTTGTGACTGCATGAAAGTGGCCCGATTGGAGGGAGGGAGAAAGAAGGTATTTATGTAGCAATGCAGCAGTTTTTGAATATTGTGCACACTGCTCATTGGTGATTATGCACGTTTACATCTATTTTTTAAAGGCTTACGTTAGTTTCTATGTGGATTTGAGTGCAACGATGTTCCAAAATTAGGAAGGGAAGCATTTATTATTAATTTGATCATATAGACCCTTCCCCACTGTAGGTGGGTGCCTCTGGGCGGTTTAACTTCTTTACTCTCTCTCTTACCTCCTCGTAGGTAGAATACATAGGTACTTAACAATATAAAGGTTTTTAAAAAAGATTTATGCTGTAGATAGAACACTGTACAACATGCATTTCCAAAGTTGGAAGAAAGAAAGGGGAGAAACTGAGAGGACACGCCCTAAAACAGAGAGAGAGAGAGAGAGAGAGAGAGAGAGAGAGAGAGAGAGAGAGAGAGAGAGAAAGAGAGAGAGAGAGAAGAGAGAGAGAGAGAGAGAGAGAGAGAGAGAGAGAGAGAGAGTATAGTATTAGTAGGAGTTTTACGGTACTTGCAACACAAATAGGTCATAATCTATCTGGTGACATCTCTAATCTTCGGCACATAATATAATTTTGTATGTTCCGAAGAATAGAGAGTTTTACTAGACAGTAACTTACAAAACAATGTCATAAAAGAAGGAGGAGAGATAAGGAGGGTGGATGTTTTATAGGAAAAAAGGAACACAACACCCCAGATCGCCCGCCAGCCTCCCACGGAGAAAGAGAAACCACGAAAGATATAGAGAAACAGAAAAATATAGGGAGAAAGAGAGAGGGAGGGAGAGAGAGAGAGAGAGAGAGAGAGAGAGAGAGAGAGAGAGAGAGAGAGAGGAAGGAAGAGATGGCATGTTTGATTAAATAAACATTCCCACACGAAGATCTGAATCACGTCCTTTGAGTGAATGGAAACCAGTACCTATCAGAAGCCAGAGCATACAAACAAGGAAACAGAGGTATTAATGAATTGAATGATATCCATCCATCCACCCATCCATCCATCCATCCATCCATCTATCCATCCATCCATCCATCCATCCATCCATCCATCCATCCATCCATCCATACATACATACATACATACATACATACATACATACATACATACATACATACATACAGATAGGCAGGTAGGCAGACCTTCAGACAAGGCAGATAAAAAGATTAATATAAAAACGGGAAGGGACGTGATACAAATGTGAGCGTAAAAAGTAGGTCCAGGATGTGAGGGGCATTAGTTTGAAGCATGCAACAAGTTCGGGAAAGCACGGCTCAGTCAGTGCCAGTTGCACGGCTCTATAATCACAGCCTGGGGCAGCGTTGAGCCAATCTTATCTGTTTCTTATCCTGTGTTATCATCTAAACGCGACAAGCTCCGAGGAAAAAGCTGTGGCTCTCCAGGGTAACTTGATGGCCCCAATGACCTTTTTGGAAGGGAGCTACATTCTGTTCGTCTCCAACTATTCTACGTCTATTCTTTGGAAACTGAGAATGTGTGTGGTTGGAGAGTGCCACTAATAATTCTCTTCTTTACTATCCTTGTGTTAAATAATTCTGATCGTCGTCTTGTTCTTATTATGCGGTATCAAGACAGTGATCAATATTCACTTATTGTTATCGTTGCTGTTATTGTTGCTGCTTTTGTGACTGTTGTTATTGTGGATCCCCTCAACTCTCTAGGTGGTACAAGAGGCAGGATAAACAAACAAAACAAAACAAAACAAAACAAAAATAACAACAATTAAAAAAAACCCCTGTTATTGTTGTTGTTGCTATAATAGTGGTGCTGAAATTGTAGATGTCGTTGTCGTTGCTGCTATTTTTATTTCTATGTTTGTACTTGTTTTTGTTACTCTCCATTCTGTTGTCTTCATTGCAATTATTGCACAGGTTGTTCAGCATCGTCGAATATCATGTCTGGATCATACATTAGCGGAGCGCGCTCGTATGACTGTATGCAGTTGCAAGCGGCGTAAAACACTTACCAGACAGAACATGAGCAGTTATGGTTCTCTATTCCTCTTTTTCAATCGAGACCCTAAGGAATTGTTTATTTTGTTGTTGGCTGATGGTTGCCGTAGGTGTTCAAACTATATATAGAATAAAACTTGAACGTTGGTATCCTTGACTTTTCTCCACTTCGATTTTTTCCTGCCAGATTTAGTTGTTCCAACCTTTTTCTCTGTATGCATGCCCCATAACTTTCATTTGTAACTCTGTATTGTCTGGACGAGGGAACTTTTGATCTTTGTCATTTCCAGCAGTTTTTGGTTTGTCCTCTTTTCTGGCCATGATATTTTAAGGATTCTTTTTATGAACCACATTCCTTTTGCTTCTTCAATCTAGTTCTCAATTGTTCAGCACTTACATACATATAAAAGAACTGACTTGTTTTTAGTGGTGATATGAAAGATAAGCTCACAACTATAAGAGGAACAATATAGATCTAGGCCATTCGAAGAAGGACACACAACCAATATTCCAGTAACAATAAGAAAAGTAAAACGGACACAATACGCTTTCGGTCTGTATCTCGAACTTCCACATAACAAATTTAGTTTGAAAACTGCTGTCTGCAGAGGAGGTCAAAATGATCTTTGTTAATAACAGAACAAAACGAATTAGGGTATTATTGATAAGAGAGCTGTACGTTTAAAGATCGATTTTACGTCTCCAAAAACACTGTTTTTGGGTTCTGTTAAGGCGAGATGGTCTGGTTAGCATGCCAATAAACAGACTGGGTATCAAAACAGAACATAGTAGACATAGTTCTATGTAAATGAGGCAAGAGAAAAATGACTCATATTCCTATCCAGATGAAAAATGCACTACAGGACAATCGAATTATAAGCTAAACTGAAAATAAAATAAAATTATTATACGTTTATAACTAATACAGCATATAGATGTCTGGCATACATCTGCCCTAAGGCTAGAATGTAATATTTTTGTGAGGCAGAAATCAAAATTTTGGGCTAAGTGCATTCTGAACAGCTACCCGACAATAGAAAACATTATGGCTTTGCAATAGAACACCAGAACCTTCTGCAATAAATAAAAGTCTTATCTGTCTCTACTGAACATTCAGTAGGGATTAGCACAACCCTGAAACCATTACAAGTTGTGCCTTACTACCGAGACTGAAAATGCTGGCTGGTAGCTTCACAGTTGACAAGTGTCAAATATTTTGAGCTTTCCAGTAGTGAGAGACCATGAAAAGTATTATATAAAAGGCCTATTAATGCTGACGCCACCTTATTACATTCACCTCCTGAAGATATGCTTGTCGGGAATTACAATTCTAAACGTCAATATAAGAATGTAAGCATCAGGAAATTATAACGTTTTTGGAAAGGACTTCATTGAGACACGGGGGTAAACGTTCTGGCTTTGTTGGTCAAGGGTACAATGAAAACATTGACACAGCGATGATATTGGATTTGTGGAAAAGCAGAGCAGCAGGCACAATTGACAGTCGGTGGCGAAAAAATACATGACATCTAAAACACAACAAACCACCCGAAGAGAATTCTTCAGAATAATGTTTCAATCTGTGACAGATCTAAGTTAAAAGGTGTGGTAGGGGAAACGCGCTTTTGAAAACACTGTAAGGCTCTTGGAGAGGCGTGTCAGTTCACCCCCAACAGGACTGGACCAAGAGAGGAAATTTTCTTGGAAACTAAGCAGCCACTCACCAAAAATTTAAATCAAAATCCCCTATGGAGCATTCTTCAACTTGGTTAAGTCACGCAGTAACTTAACATGATAACGTAAATCTCCAAACCAATGCAATTTAGGCGACAATTAAAGGCTGGGGTCTTCAGGTGGATTCGTCGGGGTGGAAACCTTCAATGTCTTTTTTCACAAAATGATTCGAACCCAGACAATCGTGGATGTTATCCACTGTGTGACAAAAGTATTCAAGTAGTACTGAAGCATATTCACAGGTTTTAAAAAAAAGTACCACCTGTTTATAAATATCATAATGTGCGGAAAATAAGTAGGCTTGTATTCTTATCGCCCGTCATTTTTGGTTGACTGAATCAAAAGGAAGAATTATCATTGGTTTTACGGAGTGTCAATTGACAACTTTATGGGAAATTAAAGTATGTGTAAAGGAAACTGAAACCGTGCTCTTGTTTCCTCTTGAGATAAGTAATGAAAGCCACTTCTGGTCTATAGCTGTGGTATGGTAAGATATTCATCTTCTCCAAGGGTGCCTGGCTGTGCTCACACAAGATACTGAGGCTGCTTCGATAGGGCTCATTAGCAGATCCCGTGGCGAGGGAAGGCGGAACGTGCCAACCACAGAGAAAGAAAGGGACCACAGGGTGCTCATGATTTGTTTGGTTTGAGTAATCATCTCTTTTTAGGTGTGGGAACTCAGGTGGCTGGGAGGGGGGAGGGGGTTGTAAATCAAATTAACGAAGAGATGTTAATGTAGCACATGCATCTAATTTGGGTCCGTGATAAAGCCCGTATTCATTATGAAGTTGCAGTGTGTGCTATAAGTATTTAAACGATCTCTCACATACTATCTAATCTACTACTGGAGTATATTCCATTTTGAAAATTTACGGCCCATTAACTAAAACAACTTGAGACTGGCGCATACGAGTACTTTAACTACATTTGAAACTGGTTTATGGACATATTTATTTAAATCTCATTTTACCAGTTAGTCTGATTCTCCTTCCAACACGTGTGATAAGCAGCCATAGTAATTGTCTGTTTATATTTGTGTTGTTATGTCAGAGCAGTATTAATATGATTGTTCGTATATTACGTGTGCATGTATTTGAAAGGCTTGCAGTGCATTGAATAAGCCAGTTGCATGATATTTGTTACTGTACAAGTTTTATATATTGGAAGCACCTTAAGCCAAAGAGGAATGGGGGTCTGTAGACGTGATCTTATCTTCACTTAATCCTACAGCTTTAGACCATTGTTAAACCATGCATAAATGGCTATGAAAAAAAGAAGATATTTTTGAAAAAATAAAGTATTGAATACGGAACGGAACTGCTAAAGTTATAGTAAACAATACATATGTACACCAAAATACTCACCCCC